AGTGAGAGTGGTCGTAATTGCGGACTCACTGGCGTGCGTGACAGCGGTCTCAATTTAATCTTCCCAGAATTACTCGACTTCGTCAGGTTTCAGTTTAGTTAGTTTCGTTGACGAAGACTGCCAATTTTTCGAAGGTTGCAGCTATGTGCTGCACTGAGTACGCAATTACGACCCACCCATATCCTGGATACAGGGAGCACGTCATGATGTAGGAACACTCCGAGGATACGAATAATTTAGTCTGAATCGGAGCATTCCAAACGCATCTCATCAACTCCATGTGAAAAACAAGTTTGTGACCCTAGCGCCGATTTCGGAGCCTCACTTCACCTTGTTTTTCTTGGTACTCCGCAATGCTAAATAAATATAGAACAAATAGACCAAATGCTTTATAAAAGAAGATCTTATGCAAAGATGTAATGTGTATTGCGAAGGTAGACGGCCTGTTACGGAGCAGTTTGAGGGGAAATGATGGGGACGTCCCCCAGACTCGGGGCCATCAATCTTTTCTTCGGCTTCATTTTTAGGCTTCAGTCAGTGTTTATATTCATTAGAATCCTTTCCGTCAGCCAGCTGTCCCTCGGCAAGTTGCCGCTAACCCCTTGGGCGACGGCACACCCGCCACCGGCACGCCTTGCCGGCTGCGAATTTGCATCGCATTTCTCATTTTATCCCTTATTACAAATCCTATCACATTGCAGTACTCGTTAGGAACAAATTTTTCTTTCTACTCAATGGTCGTGCTCTTTTCAAGTAACATTTTGCACCTCTAGGGGTGACTGTAAATTGGAATTTAATGAATGAAGTGTGATAGAATCAAAGCTCCTCATAGCTAGATATTGCCCTATTCAGCATTTCTCCGAAGAAATTCAATACTCTCTCCTATGCTGTCTAATAGCAGTAATTATGCCTTGTTTTTTTGACAGTAAAAGTAACCTCAACGCTCACAACTCGTACTCATTCGCACATTTCGTCGGATGGACACTTCCTTGCAAACATTCAGCTCTTCCATCAATCACTTATTCAGTGCCGCCGTTTCATGTTTCGACCCTATGAACATGGATGTAAACAGTACAAACCTACTCTCAGGGTGAGTTCTGCATCATCTGCGAAAAGATACCTATTTTTCGACCATGTTTCTCGCAGCAGTTTCAAACGCCATCTTTGCTTTGCGGTAGGTTTCAACTCTGAAAAGGAATCATCATCAGTGTTCAATGAAAATTGATACAATTTTTTACCAATCGTTGGGTATGGAGAACCCGCACGCAACAACACTTTTTTTCCTGTGAAGGCATAGAATCTGGAAATTAGCGGACTAGTCTGGAAAGGTGAAAGACTTCGCGAAGAATCACTGCGACTTAGACTTTCCCACATAATAGGAAAATAATTTTCGCCCCAAGGACTCCGTTCACACATACCGAAGCGCCTCCTTTGCCCTATGGCAGCGAGATGGGTATCCCTTCATAAACTTACAGCACTTTACAAAGTTGCTCGATGTGTTGACAGAAACTTACAGAATGCACTATCTTACTGCAATCATTGCCGACGTTACTTGCGCCGACATGGGTAGTAGAGGTAAAAAGTGAATGATATTAAATGGGCGTTCTGATCTCCTGAATCAACTCTCGGGAACAAAATTGCGCTATAGCGTAATTCTCTGGAAGAAAATCAATCTTTCCATAAGACTATCTAACAGTATTCGCTATGGTTTTTATACAGTGAAAATCGCTTCAAAGCTCACTAATAAGTGTTTTTTATGTGTCTCCTGCTGAATTTCGCTCGCCTCTCTAGCGGCCTTAATCAGTTTTGCTACTGTGCAAATAGCGCCGGATTGAGTGCTCATTTACCTCTGTAACCCAGCTTATAGGTAATGTATCGATGATCAAGGATCATCCAGTGTGATCTAGAACATCTAGACGTCTTTGGTCGGTACGTCAGAGGCTGGAATGTGTCATGAGGAAGGGCTGGGTTTGGCGCCCGTTTTTCACCAATTGCTTCCGCTTGCCCGCTTCAGCATTTTGGTGGAGAACGAGGTGGCGCCGCGCCAAGCAAAGCAACCTTACTTGCCCCAGCGACTGCATCAAAAACGACTGTGCTTAACTTTTGCAGGTAATCCGGACTGACCTTGAAATACGCGAGTAATTGGTCTACAGCATTCTGTAGTGTTGGTAGTCCAAAGATCATGCGGGACTGATCCTGATTGTTGGTAGAAGTCTGAAACAGTTGGTGATTCTGATCCTCACTATAAATTATTTTCTTCATTGGAACCAATACTTTTTGGTCGTTTCCAAATAATTAATCATTTGAAACGTTCAACCAGTAAACAAGGTTGCAGCAGTTGCAGGACAGCAAATTGGAACCACAAAAAACTAATGTTTTTTACTAATGTTATCCATCAGTCACTGCTCTTACAACGGGAAAATGAGTCCCAGGGCGCGTTCACGTCGTGCCTGACTCTTACATTACCATCGATTTCTTCTGATTCCTCGCGTCTGGATAAGAATTGACGATTCTTTGGCGGATGACCCGGGGGAGCGGGAGCACCTCGAAAACTAATCACGTAATCATTGGGTACGAAAGTTACCAAGTACGCAGTGAGATCGGGCCGGCTTTCGCCGACCCGATCCTCCTTCTGCGTGTGAAAAGTGGGTCCCGGTGAGAAGTTTTCCATGAGTGGGAGGGCCAGTCGGATCGGCCGGCTTCGCCGAGCGAATGGTCGAAAAAATATTGTTTTGAGAATTAGCGCACTTTACCTTTCACTTCTTGTATTCAACCCCCCCCCGCCTCCCACCTAGTAAGAACAAGTCGTCAAAATTTTCTATTGCCACTCGCCCTCATGTGATGAGGAATCGCAGAATTAAGTATTGCCGACGGTACCAACCATTTGGCACTATCTAGGTTATAGCTCACTAACTTCATCTGCCGAACCATTCAGTCAGTTTCACCTTACTCCCCATTTTGTGGGTTTTTCGTATGCGTTTTGAGGATTTTTGCCCTCGGCACCGTTCACTTCGGCGAACGCCCTGCCCCGAATGGTTCGTGTCTCACTCATTAGTCGCAACCGTGATGTTGCCTATCGTTGCCACTTCTCCGCTCTTGGGGCCTTTTGGAACCAAGACGAAGGTTTGTTTTGAAATTTGTAGCTCACAACTGTGCGCACGCCCCGCCCACAGTGGGCGGAGCCTAGCTCAGTTCATGTGTGTTCCGTACATCTTGGCCCATGCCCTACCCAACCCACCCTTGACCCGCCCCTCCAACTGGCTCTTCAGGTGATTCCGAATTTCCGACAGACAGACAACAGAACACCAGCTCAGACAGACAGACAGACAGACAGACAGACAGACAGACAGACAGACAGACAGACAAACGTTGCCGTTTATATATAGTAGGATAGATAGACAGTTATTTAAATTCGCATCCATCGCGCTTTCTCAGCAGTTCCCATTTTTCGCTGTCGAAAAACGAGCCAGAGGGAAATTCCGATTTCTCGCTTCTTCCGCACTTTACTACCCCACTTTTCCATTTTTTTTTACACTCATGTGCTGTTCTGGCGTGCATTCAGAGAAATTGTTACATGAAGCGAATTTTAACATTCTTATAACTGATTGTGAGGGGGAGGCGCTCAGCAATTTTTTTCACATTTTCTCTCCTTTATAGGTGAACTTTCGGGATGAAAGCATTAGTAATTGTATTTCAGCTTGTCTGTTGTGCATTATCTCTTACGATTTGCCTATGTGAATTTGCACTAGCCATTTATGAGTACACCTACTCAAGGGGAGGAAATATCAGTGGCGCTATATTTACATGTAAGCATTCTATTTGTTTTCAGGAAAAAAGAGTACCATGCTCGCAATGAACTTTTTTGCAGGTGTGTTTTTCACTCACTGGCGTGCATTAACCAATTTTTTTGTTTTATTTCAATTGGGGTATTGATCAAACAAAATCCTTGCCTTCTTGTGCCTTTTCTGACGTTACAGGTGAGCTTGTATGAGTTTCCGATTTTCCTTTTTTTTCTCCTTCTCTCCTCCCTTTACCTCTTTCTCTTTTCTTTTTTCTCTTAACCTATCTTGTTTTTTATGTCTTTCAGTTACGCAAAACAATTTTTGACATTCTGCGCCCTCGTTTGTTAGTGTGATCGACGTGTCAAGGATAAAACTACCGCTGAAGACAAATTCTCAGCTGACTTGATGATTTGAGATGTTTGGCGCTGGCGCCTTTGAGGGCGGAAAGTGTGTTCTCTGTGTTCTCTCTAAGCAGGATTGGTGTTCTCGATCGCTGTTGAAGGTTTAACTTTGGACTGCTCTGAAGGGCGAAATTCTGGCCCCATCTTGCCTGAGGGAAGAATTTCAGTCAAAATGAGGCTTGGATTTTAAAATGTGGTGCTATCAAGATGGCCACTACAACAGTCTCTGTAGTTTGCTCTCCACCCGGTTTGCAAAGTAGGACGTACTTACGGCGCTCTTTGACCATTTGGTTACAGCTACTTCCAGTCCTCGTTGAAGATCTATTGCATGAAAGAGGAACAATCTGCTGATTATCGTCCCCAGGGAGATTGATACTCTTCAAACAATTCAAAGAGCTCAGAAACAATGAGAGGAGAAGGTTTCATAGGTATTGGTTTAATAAAGTTTCGCGAAGGAACTTCAGCCTAGAAAATCACATAATCCAGAGAGTGTGCTGATCGGCTAATGTCATTTTGTCTACTTGAACAGTGTTTCCGTAATGATCAAAGACGCTGGTGATCCCAGGGTACAGCATTGTTGTGTAAACACATGGAGGGTCCTACTTGGCCGCTGGAGAGGGGAAGTCGCATCTGGTCGTTGTTGGGATAGGGCGGGTAGTATTTGGCCGTTGTTGGGGGGGGTCGGTATGAGCCCTTAGGCGGGGGGTCGGTATGAGCCTTTGAGAGGAATGCAAAATTGGAGGAATGGCCGCGTTGCCGCTGGAGAGGGGAAGTCGCATCTGGTCGTTGTTGGGATAGGGCGGGTCGTATTTGGCCGTTGTTGGGGGGGGGGGTCGGTATGAGCCTTTGAGAGGAATGCAAAATTGGAGGAATGGCCGCGTTGGGAAGGAATTTGTCACGGTTGTTGACCTTTTGCGGTTTTTCTCGTTTCACATGTGCTATTTACCCCTCGCTCGAACGAAAAAGTTTCAGGTGAAAAACTGGTGGGCTGGGGTGTAGGAAAGTGATAGGTAGATATAGGGGAGGGGGGAGGGGTGACACCACCATTTCACACATCACGATGCTTTACCCTTGGTGGTCTATCCTTGACTCGCCCTCAAATTTCGAGAGTATCTGGTGTTTACGTTAACGAACCTGAGACGTATATGCGAGGCAAATGTTGTTGAAACGTTCAACACGTTTTGCTTCAAAAGTAAAGGCGCCGGTATTTTGGAATTCGAACCTAAGGCGATATAGCGGAGAGTGGCAGCGCTGACTTTCTGCTATGGCACACCTTGCTGAAATAGATTTTCGCAAGAAACGCGTGAGAGCGAATATGTGAGGCGGCTGTGTAAAGAGACTACTTAAGTGGTTCGATACCGCCATGAAACACCTCCTGGAAAAGAGTTAGCTCGACATCATCTTGACCCGGTGGTTGTCTGCTACTTTGCACCTCAAGCCGAATAATTACCGTCCCGCACTAAGTACCCTTCCTTAAACTTTCCAGAGGGGATAATTCGTTACATAAGGGGACAAAAGAGTGGTTCGACTCCACTTCAGATGGTCGAACCCAAACCTCTTTGACTGCCTCACAGAAAACTGTCCCCAGGCGCTTGTCTGACCTTGAATTGAAGTTTGTCTAGCCCAGCTGATCACAGTGAAGATCGATTGCAGAATTATCTGGTGCAAAGGCTTGAATGAGAAGACGGAAAAAAAGGCTGCTCCACTTTTCTTGTTGTATGGCCACCTTTTCAGTGTTTCCTGTGAAATCTGAGCTATTTCAGTTAATATTCATGACGACTCTCGGTTTACTAGTTGTTGTATGGTGGATAGCAACTTTGCTAGCGTCATTCGATCTGGTTCATTACAGGAGTCCATTTGGTGAGTAAAGGCTTCAAGTAGGTCCTGGAGAGAACGTGCCTATTCGACAAAGCGCCAGAACCTACATATCTGACCAATTTTCGCATTTTCAGAAGCGCTAACGAATTGCGAATTTTTCGTTGCGGCTGGAATAGTACTTTTGCTTCTGTTCATCGTATGGTCAAAAATCTCACTTATTCTCTATCACGGTTATACACGAACCGAAAGAGAAGCACGTTATCGACGACAAATCTCATCCGGTTATCAAATGTCTAGGAGTAATACATTTCCTCCAACACTTGTATAATTGTACATGTATGTAAAGAGAACTAAATATTGGTACTACACGCGAGACATTGTCTATACATCCGAAAGAACCTTTTTTCGTCACTGCGACGAAGCATCTTCCAACACAAGATCATAAGCTCAAAAAAAACAGGCGGCACACAGTACCACCGAAGTTGTGCGTGAAATTAAATGTGTTGTGTCCATGAAGGCACATAAACACACAGGAGCTATGCGGCGAGGCCAGGAAGCGAAGGCGAGCTAATACCGCTTACCACCTGGCCAGGGGCTGCTTAGGCGGGGACTGAGTAGGTGCTGTGTGTACTTGCGATTCCCATACACTTAGTTTTACGCGCATTTTGGAATACTGTACATCGCTTGTTTTCCTGAACTTACAATTCAGTATTTGCAATCCCAACTGCGACTGCGAGCGGTGTCGTGAGTACTCTCACTGGTGTCTTATAACTACTAGGGCAAAAAAAAACTCAAATGCGCAAAAACTTTCGAACATTACATATCATCAAAAATCGTATTGGTAATTTCCCAGAGAAAAGCGCTATGATAGCAGGTAAGTAAACAGTATGAAAGCCATTATGAAAAGAGGTTTGCGCGTTTTTGGAAAAAAAATTGATAGCGGCCACAGAATCGTACAAGATCTATCAACCATCTATCCATTTCATTAGGTAATGAATCCTTCAAACGCGTGGAGTACCAGTTCAGTTAACCCCTTTACAACATCTCCGATAGCTCTACTTGTAGTTGTCCAGTAGATTATAGCCCGACTTTCGTCATCATTACATGTCGGCCATGATCAACGCCATGTTCCAAACTCTGTCCAGTGGAAAGTGGAACTCATCATTGCGCTACTTTCTCTTTATCTATACCTTCACATCAAGATTCGTCCACGTAAGGCCATGTATGGCTACTGTCATAATGGAGGAAACCGTTGCTTCTGCGACTACTACTACTACTGTTGCAACTGCCACTACTTCTACTAGTAGTACTACGACTACTACTCCCCCAGGCAATACTTAGCGATCAATCGTATTCGTGTTCCTTTGGGCAAACACACGAAGTATTTAGCCCTGTTGTTTTGATCGGTCATTGCTACCATATTGAAAAATTACTTAAATTAAATTATTAGCTGATAAGCTTGAAATCGAAGCGAAAACGGGCCAAATGCTGTGGCTCTTACTTACTTGAATGTGGACGAGAATGCGCTTACGAAAGTAATGATTGATACGTGAACAGAGAGGAAAATCGTGACGGTTTCAATGTAGCTGTATAAAGACAGACTTTCAAGCGACTGCGAACTTACGGCAGCGCGGCCTGGCGATGTCAAAATGTCTTTTACAAGTATAAGACACAGTCATGTGACATGGTCCTGGAGCTACACTCTCGCGCTTCGAATATCGTGATAGGCAAAAAAATCCACTCAAAAGTCACACTCCGAGTAGAGGAGTCGATCTCGCGCGGTTGATGGATAACCGTCCCCAGTGGAGGTTCTCTGTTCTGCTCAGAAAAGACACGATCACAGGTAAGGATACAGTCTCATCATTTTGCCAGACCGGTGGGGCGGGTGAGCCGCGCCGCGTGTGACTCGGCTGTGATGACAGTCGCGTCACAGCCGAGTCACACGCGCCGCCCCACCGGTCTGCAATGAGAGCACAGTAGGTCAACTAGCAACAGTGCTTGCAATAGGATCGCTTGCCCTGCTTGCGGAATAGAAGCCCCGCTAGTGGGATACTTGCCTCACATGTCCTTGGGGGTATATACTCCAATGAGATGGTGGGAGTACATGTTTGATGTACATGGCACACGATGCTTCTTCCTTTCTTGAGACAGAGAACCAAAATTCACGCAAAGTGCTCCCTCCAAGCGGGCAGCTCATGCGAACTGCCGCTGCTACAGCCCCTCCCATTCACTCGATATGATATTTCATCATCTGGGATACTAGCAAAATCAAGGATGAACAGTGTTCTTGCTGTAGAACGAGCAAACCTAGTATATCAAACTCGGTCGTGATGTTCCGCGCGGTGGTCACGCCCTCCCCCCCCCCCTCTCCCCTCATCAAGTGAAGAACACTTGTTTTTGCTATTTCAAGTTTGCTTTGTCTTTGATTGTCAAAAAAAAAACTGTGCTTACAAATGAATTCCTCATCAAGAGCGGACTATTCTCAAGGCTATCCGGACCAACTGATATCTCTTCAAGGTGTCGCTATTCTTGCGGTAGACAGTGCATCACATTCAGAACGAGTATTAGTTTATTTTTACCTATCTAGCCCTGGCTGCGCTCCGGTTTACGTCATCGGGATTGCACGAGTAGATATAAGGTTACTTGGGCCGCGTAGTGTTCTGTTCTTCGAAGCGAAACATTTTTGCGCTTTGGAAAAGGCTACTTCATCGAAACAACAGACCAGGAATAAACAGCTCCACATAAAAACCCCTGCAGGCATAGTACTTGTTAATTCAATAAACTAGCATGTCAAAGCAGCAAGAGGAGAGGAGCTGGAGAATTTCTGAATAGCCCTTGTCTCTTTATAGAACATTACCGTACATGACAAATTGAAGTATTATAGACTGCGCTCTTTGTCCGACTATCTACCGTGACAACTGCAATGGAACGCCTGGACAAGCATGTCCCACTGCGGCGGAAGCTTCTGCAGTCGTGGGGCCATTTGGAGATGAATGTCGGTGAGCAAGAGCTTTCATAATTAGTGTAGCGAATTATTAATTATCGAAAGCGTCTCCTCCAATAGTGCTTCCACTAGTTAAAACGGGTATGCATTACAAAATCGCTACGCTGGGCACTCATTTTTTGAGGAGAAATGCGCTACGTTCCTTGTTCGGTAGCGCGGATTTCTGGCAGGGCCTGCC